TTCAGCGTGTGTTATACAATGTATTCTAGAACATGAATGTGTCTTATGCGGGTCTATAGCTGAGGCTACAGAGTTTTCACTAGATTGGTTTGATCCTGACTCTGCTGTGCAGTCTTGGGTAGTTATACCACCTCTCTGATGTTTCCTCACTTATAAAATAGTACCTACTTTGTAGGTTATTATTATTATTATTATTTATGATTAGCTATTCACTTAATGGAGTCCCTGGGTGGGGCAAACAGTTAACATCCTCAGCAGCTAACTGAAAGCTTAGAGGTTCAAGTCCACCTAGAGGCTCTTTGGAAGAAAGGCCTGGCGATCTACTTCAGAAAAATCAGCCATTGCACAGTTCTGCTCTCATACACATGGGGTAACCATGTGTTGGAATCAACTAGACAGCAACTGGTTGGTTATTCACCTTATGTGAGCTGTATTTTAAACTGGGAAAACCATTTCTTTGAAAATGTCCGTAGGCTCTGGAATTCTTTACAGCCCTGCTTTTTCTCCCCTCCCTCCTCCCCCAGCCCCTTCCGCTCTCTGATGATTCCTCATTTTGGCCATTTGTGTCCCTAGCAGTGCAGGGAGCAGCACTTGGTTGCCCAGGTGCCAGGTATCGACTTGCAGGCATGGCAGCATGGGAGGCTCCTGGATGGGACCCTCCTCGCATGTAGGAGTTCGTGCTGATGAGGAATTCCAAGTCCTGACTGGTTTTCCCAGCAGGAAGGCATGTTCCTGGGACAGCTGCAACAACCCCATGGCCACACCTCTTTCTAGTTTTCCAATTCATTTTCTCTTCTGATCCTCTCTGCAACCACGTGCAGTTGGCAGGAATGATTCCCATTTCACATCTGGAGAAGCTGAGGACCCCGTGAGAGGCGTGAGAACTTTGGTGCCCCGGGGCTCAACTTCCAATTCTCTAGACCATGCTGCCCTCTAGTGGCTCTGCACTGCACCTGCCTTTAGGGCTGCCACCTGCTACACAGGTGCCCCCAGAGTCCAGGTCAGCCAGTAGCATCTCACTGGGTTTGCAGACAGCGACACGTCTTTCCCAGGGAGTTGTCCTCCCACAGCACTTTATCAGCCCCTCTCCCTGGCCCTGAGCATCTGGTTTAGTCAGCGTGTTTTAGCTCTGCTAGCAGAAGCAACTGAGGCTGTGGAATCCATCTTTGCCCATGGTGCTTTGCTCATGCCTGCCACTTGGTGGGAGCCCTCCAACTGTTTAGGGACAGAAAGAAGGGAGAGGAGGAGGAAAAGAGGAAAAGAATGATGGGGGAAATAAACAAACCAAAACCAAACAAACTAAACCCATTGCTGTCGAGTTGATTCTGACTCGTGGCGACTCCATGTGTTACAGTAGAAGTGCTCCATAGGGTTTTCTTGGCTGTAATCTTTATGGAAGCAGATCGCCAGGCCTTTCTTCCATGGCACTGCTGGGTGGGTTCAAAACACTACACTTTAGGTTGGTCGTTGAGTGCAAACCGTTTGCACCACCCAGGGAACTATGGGAGATAAATACACTGCAGAAATCTCTACAGAAGCGTCCCCCTGTAGAATGTTTCAGAAAGGTGCAGCCCAAAAGACAAAGACATCCCCCCAGAATTTCATCCAGATACCACTCCTCCAAACCTAACCAACAGGAAATAAGCTGGAACATGAGGCATTACAGCACGGGGTTACATTTTCATGATAGGAAAAGCCTTTGTGGCTAAGAAGCCAGGCCACGTGTGTCCTATTGAACATAAACAACCTCACAGCTCACCCACATTGGACAAGGTCACACTGTGACCGTGGCAAAGTGAGTCAAAACCAACCTCACTCTGTAGCCATGTCCTGAGCGCAGCCCCTCTGTGCAAATCCTTGTATGCCAATGTTCATTGCAACACTACTCTCAATAGTCAAAAGCTGGAAACAACCTCAATGTCCATCAACAGATACATGGATAAACAAAAGGGGGTATACTCATACGATGGAACACTACTCAGCCATCAAGAGACATGAAGTCCTGGTACATGCTACAACATGTTGAACCTAGAAAACATTATGCTGTGTGAAGTCAGTCAGCGGCAAAAGGACCAATAGTGTATGACCTCACTTATATGAAATAAGCAAGTATACAGAAACCAAAGATTATTAGTGGTTACCACGGGTGGGAGGGAGATGGAAAAGGGAAATTTTTGCTTGGGGGACACTGAGTTTACATTAATGGTGGTAGGATAATTAGGAAAAGGATAAGGGTAAGGGTTATGCAACATGAAGAGTTGTAATAATGTCATTGAATTGTGCATGTAAGAACTGCTGAATCTGCACGTTTTGTTGTGTATATTGCAACATAATAAAAAACCATTTTAAAAAATAATCGATGCCTCCTATCTGGCTGAACCACTGCTGTAGCATTGCATTCTAGAATTACCCTGGCCTCCTCACAGCACACATCCAGTGCAAAGTCCCACTTCCTTAAATCCTCCCCCAAATCCCATAGTACCAGCCCAAGGCTTGTAGTGAGTCCCTCCTAAGACCCATTTCCTGAGACGGCCCAGAGTTCCCGTGCTGTGCGGCCTCCCTTGTTGCAACAACATAATAAAGCCAACTTTGCTGACTACTTGCGTGCTCCCGCTGATCTCCGATGAATGGGCATCCACATGACCAGCAAGGAGAGCCGATAAAAGGAGAGCTGGCTAGAGAATTGTGATCAGCACAAGCCAGAGCAGAGGAGTTAGGAGCCAGGTGAGAACCTCACGAGCCCAGTGCAACTCTGATAGGTTGTTGTACCGTTCCCATTTTACAGATGAGGAAATCAAGGCTCAGAGGGTTAATAACAGAGTCGGGTCTGAGACCTGAGCCTCTGCCCCCAAATTCAGCACTTTTTCCTGCCATGCACCCTTCTCTCCAGAGCTGCACCCACTAAGCAAGCCCAGCTGCACGTCTAAGAGTTTGCAGTTGGTGAGTGAGCCGGCTGGGTGAGCCATCCTGGTTGTGTGCAGAGAGCGCACCCTGTGGGTGGATGTTGACCCTGCTAAAGGATTTGGTGGCCCGAGAGGAACTCTGCAACAGGAGGAAGGCTCCAAGCAAAGGCTCCACCCTGGACATTCTGCAGCCAACCCCATTGCCGGTGACTTGGTCCAGGCACAGTGTCTCTCGTGAGTGTGGCTGGTGCAAGTCCTTACTGCTGGACACGAGGAGGAAAATGAGGTTCTTGCTCTGCTGAGCTTAGCCCCACTCGTGGGAAGTGCAGGAACTTTCTGGACACTCTACCACAGGCCACAGTGAGCAGATGCCCAGCGGAAACATTTCCGCAATGCCACTGCCAAAGGGTTCATCCACCAACCCCTTAGGCCAGCGTTTCCATATGTGAGATCTTACATGGAACACAGACAAACTTCTAACACTTAAGTATTTATTGTAATGTGTAATAGGAAAAAAACATAACTAGCTCATCAACATGTGATTGAGTGGGTATATTGCTTAGCACAAGGCTAAAGTTGGAAGTGAGTAAAAAATAAGAGTGTTGATTTAAAGGAAATATTAAGGCAGTAACAGAATAGGTGGTCCTTGGTTATGACAACTGTCAGGCTGGTATGTGCATGCCTAAAGTTTGAGACTTGCTGCTCTAAGCTTAGGGCAAAAAGCTGTGCTTTGGCCTGAAGCCCCTAAGGGGGTCTACAAAGAAACTCTCCCAGGTACTCGGAATCCGTGCATCCTCACAGGCACGTGTGCACCACTATGAAGACTCCAGGGAGGAAAGCACATTTGTTTCATTTCTTCACGCCCCACCAGTAAGTCTGAAAAGTTGCGAAGTAACAACACTGGTTTTCTTTAAAAGGGAAGAGTCTTCTAGGTGCGGCCTTGCTGAGGCAGTGGTCACAGGGCAGCCTGGGCTGGAGGGCCTGGGTAGGACCTGGGGGCACAACCAGGGGGCTGAAGGGACGCGGTGCTGGCACTGTCCTGGAGGGGTGTGTGCGTGTGTGGGTGAGTGTGCATGGCCCCAGCCAAGGGTGCAGAAAGAACACTCCGAGCCCTGCACTCTGTTCTCCAGCATACAGCAGGCACTCAATTCATGTCTGCTGAATCATTGTAGCACACAGAAGGCAATACCCGAGGAAGGGTGGAGGGCTTGCCAAAGGCCTTGGGTGTCTGTGCGACCTCCTTTCCTCCTGCCCCTGCTGTGCAGGCTCCCTCCTGGGCCAGGCCCATCCCCATTCCAGCACAACAAGTCTCAGATGTGACATGTCCATGGCCACGCCACCACAAATCCAAAGAATCCTGTTTTCCATAGTTTAAGCCTCAAGTTTAAAAAAAAAAAAAAAAAGCACTTTATAAGGGACCTTGGGATTTTTCTCAAATAGCTCAGTTCTGCAAGCCAGAGCTGGTCCCAGCACCCCCTGTTGGTGGTGGTGTTAGTTGCTGTCAAGTAGATTCTGACTCATGGCAACCCCACGTGTGCACAGTAGAACTGCTCTGTAGGGTTTTCAAGGCTGTGACCTTTTGGAAGCAGACTGCCAGGCCTGTCTTCTGAGGCACCTCTGGGTGGGTTCGAACTGCCAACCTTTCGGCTAGTAGTCAAGCACTTAACCATCTGCACTACACAGGAACTCCTTAGCACCCCCTACTAGATAGCTAAAGGGTCGGTGCTAGGGATGCCAGGCACTATCTGCAGGCCACTCAACTCTCCCCGGGAAATGGGGGCCAGAGCCTTGGAAATGGGACTTCTGGGCATGATGCTCATGGCATAGAAGCTCCCCAGGGCGTGGAAGGTCAGAGGAGGGGCTGAAAGTCTGAGGGTCCTGTCCACCAGCCACCCCACCCCTGTGCTGGGAGGAGGCCCAGCCTAGGTGGGCTCAGACCCCTGGTTCCCAGCCATGATGGGCAGAGCTGCAGGCTGGTCCTTATTGAGACTTGGAAGGAAAGTGTGCAAGAGCAGGTCAGGAAGGGAAACAAAGTCAGAGAAGGGCCCCTGGCCAGGGCAAGTGGGCCGTTGGCTGCCCACCACCCAGCGGGCGCTCTCAGCAGCACCCTGCAGCACTCCGCTTCACATGGCATGGCTTGCAGAAGAGGTGGTCGTTCAGGGGGTAGCAGCCTTGGTCGGTGGGCTCAACAGACAAGAGGATCCTGCAGTCCTGTGGGAGAGAAAGGTACATGTGGATGCGTGTAGATGTAACCCAGGCCTGGGCACGGCCAGCACAGCCACAGAGAGTTGGAACCCCTTAGTATGTTCTGAGGTCCTTGGGTGGTGCAAACAGTTTGCACTTGACTACTATCCTAAAGGTCAGACCCACCCAGCAGGACTGTGGAAGAAAGTCTTGGTGATTTGCTTCCGAAAAGATTACAGCCAAGAAAACCCTATGAAGCACAGTTCTACTCTGTAACACGTGGGGTTGCTGTGAGTCAGAATTCATTCGACTGTGATGGGTTAGTATGTTCTGAATAAATTAACAGAATGAACACACCCTCTAAGGGTGAGGAATGAGCTTTTCATTCCTGTTCTTTCTACTTGCCAATGCACCCAGCCAGGTCTTCACAGGGAAGACAAAACAGACACGGGGGGCTTGCTTTCAGCAGCATGGAAGTGACTGAGAATAGAATCTGCCCAGGGGAGAACCAAGGACGCTCAGAGTCAAGTGCACCCTTTGGTCAAAGACACCCCCTGAGGGATCATGGAAAGTTGGGGCTAGAAAGGTCTTAAGAACCACCCAAAGCCCCATGAGAATGTAAGCTCCACAAGGCAGGAGCCCTGGCTACTGCTAGATCCCAGCCTGGACCAGTGCCTGACACACCACAAACATTCGATAAGTATCTGTTGAATGAATAACTAAACTCAGCCCAGTCCCTTCATTTCACAGATGGGGAAACTGAGGTCCAGAGCAGGCGGGGCTTGCTTCAGGCCACACAACTGTTCCAGAGCTGGGACTGGATCACGTCTCCAGGCAGAGTTGAGGGGTCTTTTTGTTGCTCCACTGCCCACACAGCTTCAACACTGGCATGAACTTTAATACTTCTGATTTTCAAATCACCAAAGGAATTCAGCACAAGGAGGACAAAGACTCGGGGTCCAAACTCTGTCCGCTTTGCCCCAGGCCAGCACCTCACCTGGGCACACGCTGGAGAGTGATAAGGGGGACAATTAATGTCCAGAGATCTGGCCAGCTCCGGGCACAGCCGGAGCCCTTTGGAAGCTGCATTTGTCTCTCAAGCCACCAGGGGGCCTGGTCCCCATAGAGACAACTTTGGGGTCCCGGGTGGCCATCCTGAGATAGCAGGGCCCTGACCACAATGCGCACTCTTCCACCACCAGCTGGGTAGGGCGCCCTCGTGTGTCTCTTCCCTGCAACTCCACCCTGAGTCTCTCAAGCGGACACCAGGCTATTTAATCCCAGCATCTGTACTATTCAGAATTCACTTGACATCACGACAGCATCAAGTGCCAAACCTAAAGTTTCACAGGGACACAGGGTGACCCCTTCTTACACTAGAATCAAATGGAGACCAATTCTGCAAAGGAGCTGCGGGTTGGCAGAAAATTGGCTAGACCTGGCTCAGGGAAACACGGGTTGCAAACAGTTTTCTGAGCCTTGATTTCCTCATCTTAAATGGAGACAATAAATTTCCTCTCAAAAGACTATCATTTGCATTAAATGAGGCAATGCATACAGAAGCATTTTATACATTAAAAAACACCACACATGTAAAACATACATGACCCTTCCAACAATGGTAATAAATAAGATGGTCCACAAAGGAAGGCAGGAACAATGAGACAGGTGTGGATGTCTCCTTGAAACCTATTTTCCTTCCCGGAGAAACAGCACCCCAAACCACTCCAGGCCTCTGCGGTTTAAGAGTTCTCCCTTCTGAAATGTAACTGCCGGCATCCAAATTCTGACTCACTGCGTAACTTTCACAGTAGCCTTGGTCAAGTTTATCAGCACAAGGCAGGGAGGGTTTATTAGCTCACTAGCCAGCCTCCAAGAAATAGTAATCACTCCTGGACCTTATTAGGGCTATGGTAGTGATAACAAAATTTGAATTTCGTCACTGTTCTTTCAAGATGTATTATCAGCCGGACCTGGAACTATAATTAACAAAGGCAACATAATTATGAAGCTATTTGTCAACTTCTCTACCAAACTCCCTCATCACCCTCAGGGAAGACAGCCTCTTGGTTCCGCATATCCATTTAGGTAAACGTTAAAAGAGTGAATGGAATGTTTAGAATGATTAGATTTGCTCTGGAGCTCCCCACTTAGGTAATAGCCACAGAACCTGCCCCCTTTGTCACCATCACCAGAGAAAGGAGAAACGTCAGTGACATGGGGAGTGACAGTGGAAGGGGAGGATTCCCAGAGCCTATCCAGCAGGACCAGCTATGTAATAGGTGGGGTCCAGGGCAAAATGAAATGTGGGTCCCCTTGTTCAAAAATGAAGAATTTCCAGATGGTGACAGCAGAGCTTTAAAGCAAGCGTGGGGCCCTCCGGAGCACAGGTTTGGTGCAGGTCCCTGAGTATTTCTTGCTGGAACTACTGCACCAGCTTCTAACCAACCTCCCCAGCTCCAGCCTCACCCCTCCCTGCAGCCTGAAGTCCAGACTCCTTAGCCTGCTACGAGGCCCTTTCATCCTCTCTCGCCTCACCGCTAACCACGCCTCCAGCATACCACACTCTGAACGCACCCAGAGACTTCCACTTCCTCTGACTTTCCAGGCTTGTTCCAACCAAGTAGCTTTTCACAGACTCTCCTTTTTTTCTGGCTTTCTCTTCCCTCTCTATCTGACAAACTCCTACTCATCTTTCAAAACCCAAGTCAAGCATCCCCTATGAAAATGCCTTTGGTTCCTTTGCCCCAGGTAGACTTCATCACTGTCTTCTTCGACCCAAAGCTAATCTTATACATGTTTTTTTTCCCCCAGCCCCCTGAAAGGACATCTGGTGTGCATCTGCCCAGCATTTTTTCTTCCTTCCTATGGTTACAGCAACTCTTCTGTAGAACCCCTGGAGTGGTCAATCAGCACCCTAGCCCCTGGCCATGGTGACTGGCCCAGAATGGGCATGTGACATAAGCTGAGCCAATCAGAGGGCTTCCTGGGATTGTATGCCTTCTCAGGATGAGACAGGGTCTCTCTCTCTTGGGGTTTCTAAGCTGGAGGCTGTAAACCTGGGCCATCTATGGCCGTGTACCACTTGTCCCTTCTCACAGAGGATGCCAGCCTGCAGGCAACATACAAAAAAGGCAGAACTGAGAGACTGAGACCCCTAATATTATTTGAACCCCTGGTACTACCATCACCCTTCCCCGTGAGCCAACAGATTCCCTTTGTTGTGGAATGCAGTTTGAGTTTGGTTTCTATCATTAACAACCAACAAGTTCCGATTAATAGACTATAAAAAAACCAAAACCTGTTGCCGTCGAGTCAATTCTGACTCTGGCGACCCCATGTGTTATGGAAAAGAACTGCTCCATAGGGTTTTCTCTGCTGTAATCTTTATGGAAGCAGATCACCAGGACTTTGTTCCATGGTGCTGCTGGGTGGGTTCGAACTGTCAACTTTTAGTTAATAGTTGAGCACAGTTTGTTCACCCAGGGGCCTTTTCATAGACTATGTTTGCAAGTATTTCCGTACTTATTTGTCTCTGCTACCGGGCAACCAGTGAGCAACTTGAGAGCAGAGACCCCACCCACAACTTGTTCCCAGGTCCCACAACCCAGCCCAGAGCCTGGCACCCAGCAGGCTACCATGAAGGCTTGTGCAGTCACTGAATACATGTTAAAACAGCATGTTATTCAATCCCCACTGCTCCACTCACCTCACACCTGTAGCAGTTTTCATGGAAATTCCTCCCCATGCACTCGATTTTGAAGGCATCCTTCCCGTCTCGGGGGATGATGGGATTCTCACAGATGCTGCACACAGGGGCGAATTTCCTAGAGGGAAAAGGAACCCACGCTTGGGAGGTGTTTGCGCTGACGACCGCAGAAATTAGCTGTCAGAACTCCCAGACCGGCTCCGGCTCACCTCCCAGAGCTATTAAGCCCTGTTGCTATGTGACCGCACCTGGCGCTACAACCACAAACGTCTATTTCTTCCCAGCAAGAGCAGAGGGGGAGCCCTATGTAATTAGACCCCACTTCCCAGGGTATAATTAGCTCGAGGCAAGGAAGTGACTGGGGGACGTTTGACTCTGAGAAAGCAGAGAAATCTCCTGTGTGTTCTGTGAGCTGGGACCCATTTTATTTGCCTTGTATTATAAATCACT